CAGCACTGTGGCACAGCAGGTTAAGCCAATGCCTACAATGCCGGCATCCCATATGAGCACTAGTTCAGATCCCAACTGTTCTAGTTCCCATCCAGTACCCTGCTGATGCGCCTGTGAAAGCTGCAGATGATGGGCCGAGTACTTGGGCCCCTGCCACACATGCGGGAGACCCGGATGGAGTTGCAAGCAGCTGGCTTTTGCCTGGCACAGTACCAGCTGTTGCAGCCATTTGGAGAGTAAACCAGAGGATGGAAGATCACTTTCTCTGTCTTTCCCTCCCTCTCCCTGCCTTTTGAATAAATAAATCTTCAAAAAAAAAAAAAAAACACAAGAGATTTGTATCTCATAATTCAGAAGATTCTTGAAGTCCAAGATCGAGATGCTAGCAGATCTAGTGTCTGATGAAGGCCTGTGACGGCCTATTTTCTACCTTTTCATTGTGTGTTCCCACCACTGAGAGATGGAGCTCTAGTGTCTTTTTCTTTTTATAATTTCATCTTCTGGACCCCTCTTCATGAACCTTACCTAAACCTAATCACTTCCCAAAGCCCTCTCCTCCTAAAATCATCTCATTGGTGGCCATGGTTTCAAAATATAAATCTGAAGGGGACATAAGTGTGTAGTTCATAACCAATGGTGATACACTATGGCAGATGTGCAGGGCCCTGCTAGCATTTACACCACGGGGCAGGCATGCGGTTCACATCACTGACCAGACATGCACATCACTATCTTAGACCGTTGACTGTAGGCAAGTCATCTTTTAATTATTAGAATGGCATGATATTCTAAAAGGATGATATTCTTCAGGTATATTTAGAACAATGCCATTGTTTGAATGTCTCTAATGGTTAGAGTTGAAACTCAATGTTACAACGACATACATTATTATTGAATGGAGGAGAGGTCATATTACTGGCCAACTTCACTGTCTTTGGCACTGCTTTGAGAGTGATCATCCTCGTAACACATCTATGAGGTTAGAGCTACTCACCTTTAATGGGGGAAGACATCTAGTCATGTTGCTCCGTGTATCCAAGGATTTGAACCCGCATCTCATGGCTCTAAGGATTGCGCTCCTTCTGATACTCTGAAGCATCAACAATGCTGTCAGCTGTTTAGCTTAGCTGCGTTGGATGAAATAAGGCATTTGAGTGAGGGACTTGGTTTGCTGATTAGGATATAAGCACATTTCTGAAGAGCTCACGTAAGGGGCATGAAAAGTGTCAGAAGGTAAAAGATATTCAGCTGAAGGTTGGCCAGGTCTGATCAGCTGCATTTCAGAGCCTTTAGAAGTCAGTGTGCTGGATGAGGTACATTCTGCTAGGCTCGGGTCACACTGGGTTACTTCCGTCGCAGCCTTCCTTAGGTAGTGCTGGTTAAGAGGACTAGCAACAGCAAGAAAAGGTAAGGTGTGTACATAGCATGACAGCTATTACCTATGCTGGCACCCAGAACATGTTCAATTTGAATCTTTGTGTTTTATATTATTGTCCCTCCATCATACTTGCTTTAACTGAGCAAGTCTAGAGCCAGGAATGTGTGCTATACATTATTATATCTCAAGTACCTAGTGGAACATCTGACACAAAGCAAGCAGTTAATAAACGTTGAAAAAGCCAAATAAGTGAATCAATAACTACTTTGGAATGAATGCAAATCTCTGGCTGCCAGTGACTCCGGAAATGTTGGCGTCTAGGATTGAGTTCATGCATTTCTGCTCCCTCTGCCTCACAGACCGTGTTTACTTTTAAAGATTAAACGCAATGAAAATTAGTTTTATTTTGAGACTATTTTAAGGAGTTATGGGCCCACAGAGATACTCTGGCATATTATGGAACCAACTTTGGGAATGACTGACCTAGATAGAGCAGCAAGGTGATAGGTGCTACATAAATGTAATGAATTACATTGAGGGAGCTCCCTGGGCCTTGCTTCCCGCTAGTGCAGGTGGTGCAGAAATAGCCGGAGGAAGCATTGAAGGATGTCTCAGGGCAGAAAAGCTTACCCCCTGGAGCTGCTGTATCTACCCATATTCAGGGGTTTTAGTTATTACCAAGTCCATTCATTCACAAAGCGCATCCTAGCGGCTTGTGTATATTTAGGATGTGTCAGACACAGGGTGAGAGTCTGGGAAAGTCATGGTAAACTGAATGTCTCTGGTCTTCCCGCCTCCGCTCCCACAGGGAAGGGATGGAACAGACAGCAATTAAAGGAGCATAAATACAGGCATCATGGATATGCTGTTGCTTCTTTTACTCTTTCAGTTATAACAGGAGAATATTTCAGGATTTTGTGGAAAATGGAGTTAAAAAGTCTGAGTTTATTTTTGGTGCAAACTTTTTTGTAATACAGGGAAAGTGCATATTTGGAAAAAAATTGCATGAAATTACATTTCTTTTTCATGTTTGGTGCTCTTAACATCTTTTCCTGACTACTTATCCTTTGACATTTGCTTTTCTCTTCTTTTTCCATACATCTGACTCTTCTAAGCAGCAAGCAAACGTGGGAGTGACAAATTATATACAAACACTGATCAAGCTTTTATTATTTTTTGAGGGGAGGATAAATAAGCACAAATAAAATGTAGCCATCTGTCTTATTCATAATTGCATTTCCATAATGGAAGCTCAGGCAGTGTATGTTGGAATTAGTTGAAGAAGCACAAAAGAGACTAAGGGATCGAGTTGCACCAAAACCCAGTGACAACGCTGATGGGGTGTAGAAGAGCTTTGATTCTGGTTGCACCACGCAGCTTACAGAGACTTTGTAGGTATTGGTGACAATGGTGATGATGAGCTAGCTTTGGGACTTGGTGCACGTAAAAGATAACATCGCTGAAGAATTCAGAAAATGGGGACAACAGCTGGTTGGCATGCCTGCGTGCCACATTGGAGTGTCTGGGTTGAAGTCACAGCTTCATGCCAGATTCCAGCTTCCTGCTAATGCACACCACGGGAGAAGCAGGTAATGGCTCCAAACAGATGGATTCCTGCCACCTATGTGGGGAGATCCAAACTGTGTCACAGTCTCCTGAGCATTTGGGAAGTGAAACCGTAGATGGGAGTTCTGTCTCTCTTCCAATCAAATAAATTTTTAAAAGTCAGAAAATAATACGATGAAGAGGAAACTTTAACCTCATCTTTCCTTTTCCCCTGGCCTCCAATCCCTGCATATATACATCTTTATGTCTTTATCATCTGGGTTTCAGCTGGTGGGATTTTCCAGGAGGCAACTATCAGGTTAGGATTATGTCCCACCCACAGCATTCTGCACGTCTGCTACAGCATTTCCTGTCTGGAGCTGATACATTGGTACTCCTGGGTAGTTGTTTTCCAGACATTAAAACTGTTTATAAAGTTAGTTCCCAAAATAATAATGTAAGGGAGAGGAAAACTTTTCCCTCTACCCTCTTAACTCCTTGACTGGATCCATGCAATTCAGACCTGCAAATTTACAAATGCAGTGTTCCTATACACAGAACACACTCAGTGACAAGTGGCTCAAAGCAATGGTAGGAGCCTGGGTGTACATAGTCCTTATGGATTGAACAGGAGTTGGCTTCTCGAACTCATGCAGATGTTTGAATCCGAGTTGCATGCTAATGGTTAAAGAACTATTGCTAGAATGGATTAGGTGGAGATTAGATCCAACTGTGATATCTGAGGGTGGAGGCTTTGAGAAGAAATTGGATTGGATCAGGTTGTTAGGGTAGAGCCCATGATCAAATCATGATGCTTTATCAGGAGAGGCCAGATAGAGGGTAGAAGAAGAGGGTGCTGCCTGCGTCTCTCTGTTTCCCGGCTTGCCATATAATTATCCCTTCTGCATCCTCCAGCCCATGGGGCTGCCCAGTGTTGGATTTTCAACCTCCAGACTGTAAGCAGAAAGCTTTCTTTACTGATAAGTTGCTCCTCTCAGGCATTTTAATAAAAGTAATTAAAAGAGGCCTATTATTTTTTTAAAGTTTTTTTTATTTATTCATTTGAAGGTAGTGTTATAGACAGTGAGAGAGAGAGAGACAGAGAGAAAGGTCTTCCTTCCGTTGGTTCACTCCCCAAATGGTCGCAATGGCCAGAGCTGCGCTGATCTGAAGCCAGGAACCAGGTGCTTCTCCTGGTTTCCCATGCGGGGGCAAGGACCCAAGCACTTGGGCCATCCTCCACTGCCTTCCTGGGCCACAGCAGAGAGCTGGACTGGAAGAGGAGCAACCAGGACTAGAACTCTGTGCCCATATGGGATGCCAACACTGCAGGTGGAGGATTAACCAAGTGAGCCATGGCGCCAGCCCTGAGGCCTGTTATGTTAACAAAGACTAATAAATTTGTAGAGAAGTGCCAAGAAAGAGGAAAAGGGGGTTTAGGCTTTTAGGTACACCAAATTGTGGGGAAGGAAATATTTTGGGAAAACCAATGGAAGCTAAGGGTTATTTTAATAAGGTGTCTGATGTAGACACTTCTTGGATTTCTTCTCCCAGCTGATGAGCATCTAGAATGGCCTCTAATGATCAAGAGTCTAAGCCTTTTAGACATGGGAGAGGGGCTTCTTTTTTTCCATCTTCTGCTTCTCAGTTGTCTTCTACTCAATGTAATCCCATCCCAAAGTGAAAATGTTTATTTGTTTTGATGTATGGGAGTCTGCTTTCTGCTGGTTCACTTCCCAAATGCCCACAATAGCCAGGGTTGGACCAGGCCTGGAAACTAGGAGATTGGAACTCAGTGTTGGATCTCCCACATAAGTAACAGTAACCCATGTGCTAAAGCCATCACCTGCTGTTTCATGGGGTGCACATTAGCAGGGATCTGGAATCCGAGGTGGAGCTGGGAATCAAACCCAGGCACTCCAATATGAGATATGAGTGTTCCAAGCAGTACCTTAACTGCTGTACCAAATGCCTGCCCCGAGGCAGTGTAAGTTTGGTTTTCCTTATTAGTAAACTTTCTTGACATTTTTATCTTTATGATAGTTTATAATTATAAAGTTGAGTGCACCACACGCCATTATAGTCATTTGTTTGTTATTAATGCAAAATAGCTGATCCAACTGCAAGGTAATCTAGGGACTTAAAAACAGATTGCTTTCAATAAAGGATGCATCTGGTATTTTCCAAACCCTGGAAGCCATAAATAACTACAATGTGACAGACTGAACTCTTGATCTACAGAGAGTGCAGGGAGCTCGTTCTTGCATGGTGGCTCTGGAGGAAGCAGAGCCTACACTGCGGAATCTGCCAGGCCCACAGAGCACAGGCTGTAAGGCTGCTGTACAAGTCACACTACAAGCCGCAGTCTTCCTAAGGCCGGGAGCATTCTACACAGAAACAGCCACTCAGCGTACTCTGGAGACCTCCGATCTGAAACACAAAACAGAACGTTTACGCTAGAGGCGTGTGAGTGCACGTGTGTGTATGAGTGAGGTGCAGAGGGTAGTCAAACAACCTGGGCCAAAGAACAGAGAAACTTGTAGCCCTCTGACACTTAGGAATTTTCTGCTTCTAAGAATGGAGTGGAGGCCGGCGCCGCGGCTCAATAGGCTAATCCTCTGCCTAGCGGCGCCAGCGCCGGGTTCTAGTCCCAGTCGGGGCGCCGGATTCTTTCCCAGTTGCCCCTCTTCAAGGCCAGCTCTCTGCTGTGGCCCGGGAGTGCAGTGGAGGATGGCCCAAGTACTTGGGCCCTGCACCCCATGGGAGACCAGGAGAAGCATCTGGCTCCTGCCATCGGATCAGCGCGGTGCGCCGGCCGCAGCGCGCCAGCCATGGCAGCCATTGGAGGGTGAACCAACGGCAAAGGAAGACCTTTCGCTCTGTCTCTCTCTCTCAACTGTCCACTCTGCCTGTCAAGAAAAAAAAAAAAAAAAAAAGAATGGAGTGGAGGTACCACCATATGCTTAAAATTACATTGCCTAGAAAGAAGGCAAAAGTCACCCAACATTTAAATAATATGACTCTAGAAAGAGTTGATACAAGTCGGTCATGCTTGTAAGGTTTGGAAAGGCATCAGCCAGCTATTTGGATTAGTAAGAAGTTAAGTCCCACTGACTTGGTGTGCTTTGCAGGAAGGGACACGGGTTTGAGATTTGGTTGCTGGTGTCACTAGCTCTTTGTTAGCCAAACTCGCCAGTCTCTTAATTTTGTAGCCAATGTCTTCATCTCTCAAGCGAGTCTACTAAAACTTGTCACTGCAGCACGATGCCTGCGTGGGGCCCAGTGCACGCTCTGTTCTGTAACTCTGCCCAGGATGGAGCCTCCCAAGTAAGATGAGGGGAGGGCATGGGGAAGCTGAGGATGATTTGTGCAGGTGAAACACAAGAAAGCCCCTCAACCCTCAACCACATTCTCAGCATGGAGATGCTAACGGCCCAACAAACGCCGTACAGTGTCTGCCTGTGACCTTCAGGATGGCAAAATAACCGGTAGCAACTTCCTGATGCCCACTTTTCTTTTTCTTCTTCGCACATTTCAGCTGATCTCATAGTTCTTTTTTTTTTTTTTTTTTTTTTTTTTTTTTTTTTTTTTTTTTTACAGGCAGAGTGGACAGTGAGAGAGAGAGACAAAGAGAAAGGTCTTCCTTTTGCCGTTAGTTCACCCTCCAATGGTCGCCGCGGCCGGCGTGCTGCGGCTGACGCACCACGCTGATCTGATGGCAGGAGCCAGGTGTTTCTCCCGGTCTCCCATGGGGTGCAGGGCCCAAGCACTTGGGCCATCCTCCACTGCACTGCATAGTTTATTCTAAGCCTATACCAGGATAAAGAAACGTAAGGAATAAACTTGTTTTGTTGGCTGTTTCAAGTGGCTAAGGGCCTTTTTGACCCAGGCATCTCACCCAAGTAAAGCTTTCATGGAAAAAGTGAATCAAAACTAAAAGGAAGATCTCTATACTTTATGATTTTTAGTTGGGGAAAGGTAATAGTCAGCAATATGGAAATCGGTAAGTAAATTACTCTGTATTCATTCAAGGCATAATTTTAAGTAAAAATTATAAAGAACATACAATGTGATATAAATGGTTGTAGGAGGGTAATAGTAAAAAGAGAACTTACACATTTATTTATGCTGTAGTTATATGATTATTCACATTCACACATGCCCAAATACCAACACATAAAAGAGCTAAAAAGAGTACATGGTGTGTTAAAAAGATGGGATTGTATGATTCTTCATTCTTATTGTCTTTATGATTGCTATTGTTTCTGTGACACAGCAGAACTCCATGAGATTAAGTACCCTGTGCAGTGTGAGAGGCAAAACCGCATCCCAGGCATTAATCATTGACTGTTGTGAAGTAAAAGAGGGGAAAGGCCCATCTCTCTCCTACCTCATTTTTATGTTTCCCATCCTCATTTTTATAAGCCTTGCCCTCCTTGAAATTCACCCACTCACTCATGGAAGGATTTGGAAACTGGGCAAGGGTTCTCTCCAGCTCCTGGCCATGACACCAGCCAGGAAACAATAGTGGCCACACAGAGCTAATCCAGCACCAGGACTTCGAGCTGTTCTCTTCAACTTCAAGGAACAAAATCCATTTCCCATGCACTGCTCACATCCCACAGCAACAAAGGGAATATTTCTTCCTTTGGGAGTCATTTTAATGATTATACTAATCTAATCCTAATTTTAGTCTGAAAATCGGCATCTTAAAATAACAGCAAGCCTGTCAGTGAGTGAGCAGTCAGGCACTAAGGAGGGCTTGGCTGGGTGGTTCTCCTACAGAACCTCTCCAGAGCTTGTACTCTATATACTGGAAGGGGCAGTAGTAGTCATAAAGATACGACTAGGGTACAGGGTCTTCTCACTGTAAGTTGGGACGCTGACATCAACTTTTTGCAGCCCTTCATCACATGGACCTCTCCATAGGTTGCCTGAGGGTCCCCCCATCATGGAAGTGATCTAAGGGAGAGGTTATGGTGGAAGCATCATTGTCTTTTATGACACAGAGGAGTTATATACTGTCACCTTGCTGTGTTCCATTAGAACCTGCTCATTGATACTTCCATGTGGGAGGGTCCTACAACAAAAGCCCAATTACTGGGAAGAGAGGATGGTTGGAATCATTTTAGAGGTTGCCTATGGTACTTCTCCCTCCATCCCTTCATGACCTACACCCTCCCACAATGTAAATGCACTCATCTCCTTCAAAACACTGACTTGGTTCAGCTTGTTACAGTCTTTGTTGAAGTTTCAAATCATTTCATTGACATTAGTTCTAGATGAGGGTGGTGCTTCGCTGGTGTGTTGGCCAGTGTATGTCCCCTTGAGTACAGTTTCTCTCAATCTGAATACTTTTGAGTTAAAGACACAGTTGTCTGTGCTCTCTACACACCCCTCACCCTTGTCCATGTGCACGCACAGGGTCAACCTACAATGGTGGCACTGGCATGGCACAATCACCAAACATTGTCCCATTCAAGGAAAGAGGAACACATAGAAGCAGTTCTGAAATCCAGCCAAGCACATGTTGACAGTTGCTGATTCAGACTCCAAGGTCTGGGAGTAATCTGTGGATTCTACCTTCTAACAGTGTTCCTTTCCCACTAAAGATAGTCTATGTTTGCTGCTGAGAATTGTTGTCTTCTTCGGTGTCGTGTGCAGATGTTTGGGTGTCCAAAGATCTCTTTCATTTTGTATTCTCTGTCCTTTTAAGTCAAGATTTTGTCAATAAATTCTTTAGATTCTCTATTAGTTCACTGACTAGTTCTCTGAGGTACCCACCTAGGTCTTTCTGAGATCTTAGAAAAGATTTTACAACCACACTCTTAAATTTCATCTTTATATCAAGTTTTCTTGATAGTTTTCTAGGTTTTATTTTCCCAGAATTTTTATAAATTATATATATATATATTTAAAATCGTAACACTGTTTGCCATCTAGAGAACTTTGAGATACATAACATCAGTAATCGGTTGTTCCTTTTTATTTAAAATCCCTTACTTTGGTTTATCTCACTCATTGTACTGTAAACAGCGTGAAAAATGTAGGTGGTCCCTTCCTCATTCTGCCTGGCAATCTTATCTACATCACACAGTTCACTGGATATTCCTCTTGAACACAACAGTTGCTCCAAATTTCCTTCCCCCACAGAACACAAGCACCTTTCTTCTAGTGTCCGGTAGCATTTTCTTCACTTCCTTTAGACTCTCACTCAGGACCTTCCTAAGAGCCCCAAGGCTGATGTGAATGTCTCTTGGGACCTCTCTGGGCTTTCCCTAACATCTATCTCAGTTTCTTTTCAGCTTTTGCATTGCCTACATTTTCTAGTTTTTATTATTGGCAGCACTTCTTTTCTAAGTACCAACTTTAGTGCTCATTTTGTATTTCTACATAGCAAATTACTTCCAATGATTAGAGAATTAAAACAACCATAAATATTTACGATCTCATAGAGTTTCTGTGGGTCAAAAATAAGCAAAATGACTTAGATGTGTGGTCCAGACCTAGGATGCCTGTGGAGTTGCAGTCATAATATCTGAAGTCATGGTTGCACCCAGAGGATCCATGTCCCAAATGGTTCACTCATATGGCTGACCAGTGAGTGCTGGCAGTTGGAGATGCCTTGTTCTTTCATCATGTGGACTTCTTGGTCTGGTTGAGTGATTTCATGACATGGTAGCTGGCTTCCTCCAGAGTGAGTGATCCAAAGGACAACAGAGTGGAAACTGAATGACTTTCATGAATTCACTCTGTAACTCAGACCCCATCACTTGTGACACATTCTGTTGGATGTAGAGGCCAACCAGGACTCAGTGTAGGAAGGCTCATTTTAAGGAGGTGAGGATTGTTGGGGCATTTGGAGCCTAGCATTCACAAAGATTCATTTCCTCAAAACCTGAAACTCCATTGTGTGTGTGCTTGTTTCCCACCACTTGCTGAGTATTTACCTTATATCAAGAATTAGTGTAAATGCTTTAGATGGATTATTGTATCTAATTTCCATAAAATACAATGAGATAAATGTCATTATCCCATTTTACAAATAAGAAAACTGAGTCACTAAAATTTTTAATGATTTTAGCCAGGTCATACATGGCAGCGCTGGCAACACTGGGATTCAATTCCAGTTCAGTATCATTTGAGATCTTAATTCTGATGACATTGCTGTTCCTCTACATCTTCAGATACTTTTTTTTTTTTTTTTTTTGACAGGCAGAGTGGACAGTGAGAGAGAGAGACAGAGAGAAAGGTCTTCCTTTGCCGTTGGTTCACCCTCCAATGGCCACCGCAGCCGGCGCGCTGCGGCCGGCGCACCGCGCTGATCCGATGGCAGGAGCCAGGAGCCAGGTGCTTTTCCTGGTCTCCCATGGGGTGCAGGGCCCAAGCACCTGGGCCATCCTCCACTGCACTCCCTGGCCACAGCAGAGGGCTGGCCTGGAAGAGGGGCAACCGGGACAGAATCCAGCGCCCCGACCGGGACTAGAACCCGGTGTGCCGGCGCCGCTAGGCGGAGGATTAGCCTATTGAGCCGCGGCGCCGGCCCTAGATACTTTTGCATTTGCCTCTCATAAGCTTCTTCTCAGCATACTCTTTCCACTTCATAGAATCTAAGCCCATCTTCAGCCTCCCCTGGACTCTTTTCTTTTCCCACTCTGTTCTAATCCCATGGTTGATCATCTCATCTATTTCTCAACATTCTCCTTCTCTTGGTAGACCGGTCCTCCTACCACACTTCCCATGGTGGGTCAACATGACAGTCAAAGTCTCTGTTCCATGCCCACACTGCTGGGCACAGCTGAAGGAACTCTCACAACTCTGGATTTGTGCCACTGTAATTTGTGATCTCCAGCCTCAGTAGGTCCTTACGTCCACACAACAACTGTTTCTCTTGTCCATGGCTAGATCTGTTTCCCACCCTTCAGATTCCCATGCCAAACCTTCACTTATTCTCTTGAACCCCCTATTTCACACTCCTCAATCACCACAAGTATAAGGAACTAATCCATTTGAGGCATACACACATGCCAAGAAGTTTGCCTACTTCCACCATCTTTCCTCCGTTCCCTAAACATGCTGTGCCTCTTACCTACAAGATCCACGCTTGTTCTTTGAACCCCCTTCTTGCTCAACTATGATAAGTTGTTGCTGTCACCGATCTCCTGTCTTCCTCTGTCTGTCTTCACATTCCAACTCTTTGCTCTCTCTGTTGCCAGAGTATGTACCCCTCATAACTTTAAATGTCCCTCTACAAAGACTGCTGAAGCTGTTCCTGCCAAACAGCAAAGTGAAGCTCAATCTATTTAAGAGAAACTCATCCAATTCCTCTCCATTTGTTACTTCATGAGAACGTCCCTTCCTTCTTGATGACATCACAATCTCACTTAGTTGTTCTGCTCAGACACCTGGGATATGGCCATGAACCTTCCTTACATTTATTCCCCACACCGAAGTAGTCAATTGAACACTGTATTTTTGCTTGTAATATATATATATATATATATATATATATATATATATAGTTAATTCCTCACTTCTTTTCCAAGTTCTGTACAGTGACTTAATTTTGGCCCTTATCTTATTTCACTTGAAATGCAAAAAAAAAAGTCTTTTAACTAGAATATCTGCCTATAAGCATTCCCCCCACCAAGCCTTGTTGTGCTTGACTGTAATAGAACACGTAGACACATAACCTTACAATATCTTCATAGTGTGCTCAGAACACAGTAGGCATAGTTAATAGATATGCTAATTATTGAATAAAGTCACATCTATAAAGGTAACTCAACTTTGAATTCCTGACTAGCTTATCTTTTGTAGGTCCTTGGGTAATACACTGAGGTGTATTTTTTTTTCCCTTGGTCTTATCTAAGAGAGCTGAGGTTTTTAGATCTTTAGACTAAAGTTGACTCAGGTTGGCCAATATTTTAGGAAGTTTAAACACTTCTAGTAATTGTTTGGTCTACTAGTTTTGGACCTGTGTTCATTTCTTAACTCTAGCTTTCCTTTCTTGAGTCCTACAGTGCTGCTTAAGTCTTTAGATGTCTGCTGTCCAGTACAGTAGCTGGTAGGCATGGACGACTATTTAAATTTAAGTTAATTAGAATTAAACATTTATTTCCTTAATCACACATCCATATTTCAAGTACCCAATAACTACATTTACCCTAATGGACAGCACAGATTATGGAAAATTCCATCATCCCAGGAGGTTATCTCGGACAGCACAGCTCTAAATTAAAAAACCATCAATAACAATATAAAACATGAAACCAAACAAAACACTTTTTGTCTTCTGAAAGGGCTACTGTCTGAGATGTCAGCCCATCGTGAGCTGGTGCTTCCATTTTCTCCTTTGGCATGTTTAGTTAGCCAGAGTCCTATTCACCTGCTGACTCTCTTTCTGCAAATGTGGGCTTCACGTGACATTATTAGTGGACTTTGGGTTTTAATGTTCCTGATGGTCAACTGGGGTCTTGGTGGCCAGTTGCTGAAGCTCCCTTTCTCTGATCAGCCACTTTCTGTGACCAGACCTTTTTGCTTGTCTCCCATCTCAGGCTGAGGAGCCCCCAAGTCTCCAACTTAGTTGTAGAGCAGAGATAACTGCTGCTTTTCAGTGTGGTTAAGAGTCCTGCTGTCCCATTCTGCGTTCCCACATCTGCTCTCTCCCACAGAGATTTTTCTCGAAGGCAATTCCTCATTCAGCTGCTCCTCCCGAGAAGAGCTTTCTGAGCCCCATCACTGCATTTCTTCACCATCAAACTTCCATCTGACAGAGAAGAATTTCCATAATATCTCTCCAGGGAGGATCAGAGCCATTTTTACCTTGCTGTTGGACTTCATTTACTTTAAGGCTATTTTAACCAATTTTAGAGTATTTATCCTTTTTATGAAGAGAAATCATCTATTATTGTTTCCACTATGGTTGAAATAATGAATGATATAACTTGCCTTAAGTTGTCCCTACTATATGCATGGATTTGTGTTAGTTACTAACACTTCTTTCACTGAATCCTCAGCATGTGACATCTGGTGTCTGCCCAGTCAGACTACATAGATGTCCCAAGGACAAATGTTATATGAAGCTTCTCAAGAAATTCACAGCTTGTCATGTTTGTGGTGATTTCTCAGAATCACCCATCCTGGAATAGCATCATTCTGGTGCCATGGGAAGGAAGCTGTACTTGGTGGTGAGAAGATGTCCTTTTGTCTGCTCTTGCCCTTCTCATGTGGCAGGGTCTGGGGGCTTCCTTGAGGTGGCTCCTGACCACTGCCTCTGCTCATCTGTCAGCAGAGGTGGTCCTAAGCTTTCTGACAAACTCTGTGACTGTTCTTCAAAAGGTATTTGAATGCAAGTCACGTGGTCTAATAATTTAACCTCTGGACTCATTAAGAACCAGTCTAAACCCTTTTGCAATCTGGACCTCTTTTAGCTGAACAGCTATAATGGCTTCAAAGTCTTTTTCAAATGGGAAAGTGTGATTAAACGGTGCCTAATGAACCTTGGAGGAGCAAAGGAGGTGAAACATTTGTCAGTGATATCCAGAAATCACAGCACCTCGAATAACAATAAGGATCTTTTGATACCCTATTCCTGACCCACGTGTGAACTCTGCTCAATCCAGGTTGCATAACTGAACCTCTGTCTGGTTTTGAGTCTGTGTCTATGTTTGTTTGTAAAATCTATAAAATGGGAATTTTCAGTTTGGGCCAATCTTAGTTCCAGAAACATAATGAGATGCTACAGTAGAATGTACTCTTTAAGATTTGTCAATTGTCAACACATGAAGACTTGGAGAAAAGGTACCTGGGTACACAAAAACTATCATTGCTTTCACTTGAGTTCTATAAATATATTATTATTATAGGACCAGTGCTATGGCCTAGCAGGTAAAGCCGCTGCCTGCAGTGCCAGCATCCCACATGGATGCCGGTTCAAGTCCCAGCTGCTCCACTTCCAATCCAGCTCTCTGGGAAGGCAGTGGAAGATGGCCTAAGTACTTGGGCCACTGCACATGCATGGTAGACCCAGAAGAAGCTCCAGGCTCCTGGCTTTGTATTGGCCCAGTTCCACCTGTTGCAGCCATCTGGGGAGTGAACCAGCAGATGGGTCTCTCTCTCTCTCTCTCTCTCTCTCTCTGCCTCTTTGTAACTCTGCCTTTCAAACAAATAAATCTTTCTTAAAAAATTATCATATAAAATGCATGTGTACCATTGGGTGTGGCAAAGTCTTAGTAAAGTTAGCAGAGAGCTCACCAATTTTTGTTTGTTTTTCTTCCTAAAGACCATTGCCTTGAGCTCTCTCACAAAAGCATTGGGGAGGAATGGTCACTCCTTAATCCCCTGATCAGCACTTCTTTCACAGTGAAATCCTTCACGTTCCTTTCTCTTTTATTGAGGAAATCCTTCTCCACCATCTCTCCTACATCTCCTTCCCCTTATCAACTCCCTGCCTTCTTATTCCTTTTCCTTTATTTCTCTGGGGCACAGCATGAGGGTGACTGGGAGACCGTGGGCTTGGCGGCAGATAAGATTGAACGGGAATCTCTACTTGGCTACAAATTTGCTTTGGGGGAGCTTTCTGTGCTGGTTTCCTCATTTCTAAATGTTTTTTTTTTTTAATTTTTTTTGACAGGCAGAGTGGATAGTGAGAGAGAGAGACAGAGAGAAAGGTCTTCCTTTGCCATTGGTTCACCCTCCAATGGCCGCCACGGCTGGTGCGCTGCAGCCAGCGCACCGCGCTGATCCGATGGCAGGAGCCAGGTACTTCTCCTGGTCTCCCATGGGGTGCAGGGCCCAAGGACTTGGGCCATCCTCCACTGCCTTCCCGGGCCACAGCAGAGAGCTGGCCTTGAAGAGGGGCAACCGGGAAAGAATCCGGTGCCCCGACTGGGACTAGAACCCGGTGTGCCGGTGCCGCTAGGTGGAGGATTAGCCTATCGAGCCGCGGCGCCGGCCCCCTCATTTCTAAATGTTGTCAGTGCTGTGTACCTTTCCATGTTATCGGGAAGGTTAAATGAATCCATGTGGGCTAAATGTGTGATCATATTTTATTTAATTAATTCTGTAAATATTTAGTGGCATCCACTCTGTGCCTGGCGCTGCACTAAGCACCTGTGTTACAGCTGGGCCAAATCACATCCCTGTAACCATGGAGACAATGTCCAAGAAGAGAGAGAACTTCAGGAAACAAAGAAACACCTTGCAAATTGTCAGATGGTGCAAACTGGAGAGGAAAGTGATTAGGAGTAAGCACTGGCTATGGTGATGATCCTTATTGTTGCTGTTCCGCGACACCCCGGCTGGCCCCTCTTCCGGATCCCTAGCCCAGTCTTGTTTTCTCTTGTAGCTCTGCACACTCAGATTGTGCCTTCACATTGCTTCCAGGGCGTGGGGTTCCCCTGTGAGTTGATGTTACTCCTCCTGAAAGAGAGATCAAGTACAGGGAAGGAATGATTTATGAGCCTGCTGTCGCCCAGGCAGGAGGGCATGCTCAGCATATTCTCAAATAATTCATAGCCCCTTTTCTGCCTGGGGCTAAAGGAGCTTGGTGGAGGAGTCCGGCACGCAGGCAGCATCCAGGCCCCGCACAGTCATTCAGGGGAGCGGTGGCTGTTAAGAGTGGGTCATCTGTGTTAGTCTTTCAGCAGTTTTCCCTGCAAATCAAATGCCGATGCATTCACCTGGTGACCTGGAGATTTTGCTTCTTCCTCCTTTGCAGTCCTGGGAGGCAGCAGCTGAAGAACAGTGCTGGTACCTGGTGCTGTGCTCTGCTCCCGTCTACTCTGACTCCGTCAGGCTGAGCAAGCCCAGAGCTGTGAGCAGACAGGGAGTGGCCCAGGTTCCCACTTTGACATCTTTTGGGTTTATTCCCCTGCACCTGGCCTCACTTCTTCAGGACTCTAACAGACCCACCTTTCTCTTTCTGGGATGAGACTTTATAACACAGGGAACTAATCCTTTTCAGGAAATCATTTGACGGGGCTGTGGAAGGAGAGTTCACTGTGTGAACATTTTCCAGTCTGGAGATTCCAGAGCAGAAGTTTCAACCTGTGGAAGATGTGAAATATCTAACGCCTGGGACATGCCTCAGGCCAATTCCATCGTAATTTCTGGAGGTGGGATTGATGTCAGTATGATTTAAAAGATGCCTGGATGATTCTGGTGTGCAGCTGAGATTGAAGATGTCTGTGCTGGGCTTCAGGGCCTCCACTCTGCCAGGGGAGCCCCTGGGGTCCCCTTTATGACGTTCTCAAGGGCCGTGGCTGTAGCCTCCCTTTCACAGGAGGGCTCCATGCCTAGTTGTTGAATGAGTTGCTGGGAGAACTAGGGATGAGCTCCTCTGTTCAGCTACA